TTCGTTCTTTTATCGCGATACCCGGGATGCGTCACACGATGATTCGATTGGTAACGCGCAATCGAGTCTATACTTTCACTGAACGTATCATCATGTCGATGCGCCGATGATTACCGCCAATATGTCACTCTCGATACACTTTACAGTGACTCGACTGCGTTCCTACGTGAGTTTTCGATCGAACATGAAAACTATAACAGTTCGTTGAAATGAACAACATTCTAGTACGCGATATACTTTAGGTATTCAAAACTTTTCTTGTCTGGACGATTCGCGATCGTCTACTTCGATATAACGTTCGAGTCACAGTCTTTGTACACACGGAAGAGATTCATAAATCGCGATCGAGATCAGCTTTCCACGCGACAATGCCGGAACCACTGCGCCAAAGGTGCGCTGTATTTTAAATTCGAGCATTAACCTTTCCTCTCGGCATGCTCCTTCACGCGCGAGAGATCGCAGCTCGACTGTAGCGACTCGGCTGCACCGCTGCCGTTACTCTCCCGTCACGAAACCCTTCGCCAACCACGATCCAAAAGACGCCGTTCATTTTTACGCGTCCGCCGAACGCGACAAGGAAATCTGTTCACCGCACGATATCGTTTTTTTTTTCTTATATCACCGATCAAAATTCACTAACAGGTTAGAACGTTTCTCGATTAATCGATATACGTAGAACGTACACGCTGTTACACCAAGAGAAACAGTCCCTGCGATGGTATCGAACGATTTTTTAAAGATCGATAGGATGTTCGTAACGGACAAACAAAACGTAAATCGCACGTCGTGATTTGGTTGAGGCGCGATGGCCACCTGGCGTCACGTTGGGCGCGGTTTGACTGGTTCTCGGAGTCGTTATATTCCTGTCGTCTTTCCAGTGGACGCGCCTTACCTCGCGTCGTCCCCCGAACCCACTACTGTGCCTACCATAAAGCACTATGGTATTGTTACTACTACTACTACTACTACCACCACTACCACCTACTAACGCTGAAAGGTAAAGTTCGTCACGTGACATGGTATAGCGTACGTCACGCAGGTTGTGAAACAGGTGAGTCCCTCCTGTGGAAACCTGTCTTTGTTGCTGGCGCTTCACCGCTTTAGGATAAGTTTTGATTGTCGATCGTGATTATCGTATTATTTCGTCTTACGCGTGCTTCAAATTGTACAAAGCTATTGATTTAAGTATCGTGAAATAAGAAGAAATTGTATGTATTTAAATAAAGGAAAGAACGAGACTTAATGTATTTGTGAATGAGTTTATTAACCTAAATAAATATATTGATCTGTAAATATAGTTTACATAATGGTACTATCGTAAACGTGGTGTAGAATGGATCTATCACCCAATGTGTTTGTTTGCACGTCACAGGGGCTTTAGAGCCCCCTTACCATTTTCATGTCGCTTTCAATGTTACCGATTCAGCATGGAATAAGATTACAACATTTGTAGTGGTTGGAATTAGAACTAAATGTAAATATAAAATTATAAATAAAGTATAGAACAGGATATGTTGCTATCGTACACGAAGTAAAGAATTCTGTACTTCTAAAATTATAATATGTATATACATTAAGTTGATTGGAAAATTGTATCGTTTTATGTTTAAAGAAAATAAACCAATACCCGAACTTAGTTTATTCAATTTTGTAATGGAACATTATTTAAAAAAGAGCATTTCGCCAAAGGAAATGGTTTCAGTGTGTAAAGAAGAAATGAGTAGACTGTAAAATGCTGTAAAACAATATAGGCATATTGTAACCTTCTGTAAAATACATTTTGTACAGTTATTTTACAATAAATAATTTATGATTTATTAAATAATTCCATTCCTTCATTTTTCCTGATGTTCAAGTCCTTTCTTTCATTCCTATGGTGGCCTGAAACTTCTATTTCTAATTTATATAAAAAGAATATTAATTTTCAAATGTTAAATAAAAGTTATAAACAATTTCTGACTAATCTACTGCGTGCAATTGTTAATTCAATGCGAAATCAATAAATGAAGCTGGTTTATTAAGTTAAATCATGGATCAATTTTATTTCATACTTCCAGTAATTATAAACTACCACCTAAATTATTATTTAACAAGAAACACTAATTATTCTATAATTAAAGTACTTGAAAATGAACCGAAAGCTTTATTTTACTATCTACATTAGTAGTAATTTTAAAACAATTAAAAATTTATTATAAGCATCAATTTTAAACTGATCTCTACATGCAATTATGCTCTAATTTACATTAACTATTATTAAAAGCGAAAAATTCAAAGAATTTCTATTTTAAAAATCAACTAACATGATAACAATTCATTTCTGGCAATTCTCTTGATGATACATGAGTAAGACAAGGAAAAGTGTAGCAATAGACAAGGATAGCAATAGCGCCATGTGTTAGACAAGGAAGGGAATAGGGATAGACAAGGATAGCACTAGAGAAATGAGTTAGACAAGGAAGGGAATAGGGGTAGACAAGGATAGCAATAGTACCGTGTGTTAGACAAGGAAAGGAACAGGGATAGACAAGGATAGAAAATTTGAAATCCGATACTAACACCATCTCGCGTTTAGTGACGTGAACTACGATTTCTTAATAGGAAAACAGGATATAAACAGAGGTATTAGACAAGGAAAGCACTAGTGTGCGAGAAGGACAGAGAGAAAACGTTTCCTATTGGCTGGCGGGCCGCCATGCTGCACCTCTCACGCGCTATACCAAGTCAATCAGGGAGAAATCATTAATAACTCATTAATTAGGATGAATCTGTGAACTTTTAGAATTGAAGAATGAAGTATAGACTTTCAGCAACTTTCACATATAGTTTGTATTGCACTGAACTCTTTCAGTAATTAGTTATTAACAATTTTAGTACATGATGTCGGAAACAATACCGCATACCGTCAAGTTCCATTACGGTTTTTCAATAATTTCATAGCTTTCTACTAAATTCTCATGTAACTAACTATATGCATCTGAAAGGTAACTTTTTTGGCTGTATTCTCATATAATTTTTATTAACATACTCCTTGTGATTTGGTAGTTACTTAATATTCTTTAGGTGAGTATTACACCCGTCGCATTCAAGCGTTACACATTTTCGATATTTCAATGGAAATGCGTGATTGATTATGCACTTTGAAGCATGTAGAATGTAGAATGGACTTTTATTTATATTCTGCAATTAGTTTGGTAACCGTAAGTGGTGTGGTTTATTAGATATTAGCAATTGTTTATAACAGTTGACTATACTCGAGTATGGTGAATAGGTGATTCTCTCATATAATGTTTAATAACTCTTACACTAAACCGAATATGTTAATAAAAAGTATATGAGAATGTAGCTAAGGGAGTTGCCTTTCAGATGCATATAGTTAGTTACATGGGAATTTAGTAGAAAGCTATGAAATTATTGAGAAACCGTAAAGGTATGCGGTATCGTTCCGACATCACGTACTAAAATTGTTAATAATTAATTGTTAAAAGGGTCTAGTGCATTAAAATCTATGTGAGAAAGTTGCTAAAAGTCCACACTTCATTCTTCAATTGTAAAAGTTCACAAAATCATCCTAATTATTGAGTTATTAATGAAAATAACGGAAAACTATTACGCTTGAATGCGACGAGTGCAGTATTTACCCAAATAATGTTTAATATCTCGCAAATTACGACGAATGTGTTAATAAAAACTATATGAGAAAGTAGTTAAAGGAATAGCCTTTCGAATGCATACATGAAAGTGCATAAATTATTTGCCAAAAGTTACAAAATTAATGAAAAACGAGAAGAATGCACGGTATCCCGTACTAAATTTGCCAACAACCCGTACTAAAATTATTAATAACTAATTCCTGGATGGGTCTAGTGCATTAAAATTTATATGAAAAACTAGCTAAAGGTCCAGACTATATTCTTCAGTCCTAAAAGTTCACAAAATTATCCTAATTAATGAGTTATTAATGATTTTTCCCTGACCGTATTGATACAGCGCGTGAGAGATGGAGCATGGCGGCCTACCAGCCAATAGGAAACGTTTTCTCTCTGTCCTTCTCGCACACTAGTGCTTTCCTTGTCTAATAGCTCTGTTTATATCCTGTTTTCCTATTAAGAAATCGTAGTTCACGTCACTAAACGCGAGATGGTGCTAGTTTCAGATTTCAAATTTTCCGTCTTTGTCTATACATATATCTTTCCTTGTCTAACGCACAGCACTATTCCTATTCTTGGCTACCCCTATTCCGATCCTTGCCTACCCCTATTCCTTTCCTTGTCTAATTCATTTCTGTATTGCTAAATACCTGGACGAATTATCTTTCGTAATAAGCACGACTAATGTTGGATTAAGTGAGTATAACAGTTCATGATCTTTTGACAGCAGTAGTACTGCATCATTTACTAATAAACAATTACGTTACTTTCTTATTTGTAATTTCATAGTTAAATAATTCCAACCGCCATTAATGTTGCAATCTCTGCTAAATCGGTAACGTTGGAAGCGGCACGTAAATGGTAAGGGTCTTCTCGGCCCCCGTACTGTGGACACAATGTATCATAAGGTGTTAGGTCTATCCTGTACGTCGTCTGTGATGATAAATATAAGGTCTATTCTGTGTACCTGATCTGTACTATTAATATGCTTATAACTTATGTGCTGTCAGTTCTATAGTTTTTTTCGACAGTTATTTAATTCTAAATTTTGTACACAAAACATATGAGAAAAACAGAGCATTGTTTTAAGAACCTGTACGTTAAATATAATAGTTTGTATAGTGTTTCGTACTAACGCTAATGAATTTTAGAGTTGATAGTTTTAGAAAATGAATAAAAAATTATTTGTTTTAATTGTATGTAAATCATTTTCGCAAATTTGCTTCCTTTTAAACTAACAGTTTCGAAATAAGTAATGGTCGGACACAGTTCCGCCATTGGCGCTACATAATAGTGACAGATGTCGCTCTGACAACCGTTGCGCATTATCAAAGCTGCATGAAACTGAGATAGAATGTAAACCGGTGCAGCGGAGGTTATTTTAGTTTTTACGACTTACCATTATTTAAATATTACCATGTAAACGTGAAATAATTATACTTCGTGTCATGTTAATGGTGTAACGATTAATTGATTGTTACTTGCAGTGAATATCTGCGAAGGGACTCTGTCAAAATGACATCATTTTTAACTGAGGTGCTGATCACAGCAGGTACGTGTACAAATTAACATACACAAATGCGATTAATAACTGTAATCGAAGTACAAAATTAACCGCGAAAAAGTTAAAATAAGATACGATATACTGCTATCATCTCGTATGTTTTTTTATTAATTTATTAGTACATAACATTTTACATAGATTTCAAATTTATTTATCTTTAATTAGGAAAGATAGAAAAAAATAATTTGAGCGAGAAAATAGCAGAAATACAGAAGGAAATAACGAAATTAAAATATGATGTCAAAGATTTTATGGATGATAATTATGTCGAATTCACGGCGAAACTCACGAGAGATCAGCACTTGGTATCGAAAGGTGAAAAATTACTCGATGAGATGAACGAGTTGCAGAAAAGGATAGATCATCAGGTATGCTCTTAAATTTAATATTCTGAAAACCATTGTACAAAGCATAAACAATTTGCTATCGTGTATTACTTATTTCAGGTTAAAATGGAGTTATCCAGCTCCACCAAAGAATTAGAAACCTTTTCGCAAGCGCTAAAAGAATCAAACATGATGCTGCAACTTTCTAATCAACTTGTAACTCTACACGAATGTATTAAATCCATAAAAAGTTATCAAGAAGAAAAACGATATGTAGACGCCGCTAAGGCATTGCGTCGCACACAAAGCATCCTGCACAATCCGCAAACTGATTTACGCGATCTCGATATTTACACAGCGATCGAGGAAGAACATTTAAATTTATATACTTCCTTTTTATCCGATATGTCGCTACTATTGCACGAACGAATTTGTTGGACCGGTATCTATGATAAAGACGCAAAAATCATCACGTTGAGCGTGAAAAATGAATTTGACGATATACAAGATATAATGCAGGGCTTGCATCACATCGATAACCTCTCCAGTGATTTGCACTCGTTCGCGATGATGCTCATGGATTATGTAATTAGCCCGATTATTAACGACGATTGTTCCGTGTACGTTGCCGAGGAGAAAGTCTTCACCGTTGAAATATTAGTCAGAAAGAAATCACCTGGTTACAAATGCGTCCTTTACAATTTAGAACTGCTGTTCAAGTTTCTTCATCAGCATTTTAATTTCACGATATACGATGACGAAACGTTCCTGAAACAGATACAGCCACATTTGCTGGGACGATTGTCGAAGTCGTTAACGGCTGATTGCATTTCGCGAATTACACCAATGTCGAGCGCCGATCTGAAAAATTTTACGCCAATCGTTCAAGCGATCGATGATTTTCAATATTTCTTGGTCAAAATTGGTAGAAAACTTGCGAACATTTATTTTATTATTTTAATCATTAAACGTGATCGTAATAACCACCGTTTGATATTTTAGGTTTTATCACAAACGATGAACTTTTCTTGTCTGAATATACGAAAAATATAGACAAAGTGTTTATTAAAAAAATTTGTCAAGATTTGCTAGCAAAAGCAAGAAGCATCATGAAAAAAGATTTGCACGATTGCATTACTTATGAGCCACAGGTACATTTATTTTAAACTATTATGATGGAACAGAATGTATATCACAAATTATATTTTTCAATACTGTGTTTAGGAAGCACTTAAATTTCCAGAAGAGGCGAATGAATGTAGCGAAATGCAGATAGATAAGAAATTAAACGAGAATACATTTCAACTCCCTAAATGTCAGATAAGGTAGAGAAATCTTTCCGAAAAAGTCGTTTTTAGTTAAGTTTATAAAGATCATTTATGTGGTTAATTGTATTTTAGCAAAAGTGCAAAAGAAACACTAAATCTGGCAAGAAACATTTTAGACGAAGCATGCAATAGTTCAGATTCTTGCGCAGTTCAATTATTTTATACATGTAGAAATGTTTTTGAAATGTATGCAGGATTGGTACCTGAACATCATCGAAAATTTTTAGAAACGATACCGCAACAAGTTGGTGAGAAACTACTGATTCAATGTACATTGCATTTAAACCAAACTGATTTTTTTAAAGTGATCATCTGTATTTCTTTATTTAGCTGTGTTTCATAATAATTGCATGTATCTCGCGCATCATCTTCTCACATTGGCACACGAATATAGAGATAACTTGCCGGAATCCTTACAGAATCTTAATTTAACTTTCGCTGATCAAGTATTAGTATTACGTGGTATCGGATCATCGTGGTTCTTAGAACACATGAAATACCAACGAAATATCATTTTTGATATTCTCAAAGAGTCCGGTTAGTAACCATGCACATTTTTCTTTTTAATATAGCGGTATGCGATACTGATAAATAATGAATAATTGAGATTTCCTTTATTTTAATATAAGGTTTATCAGCATTGGGTCAAATATCTGAATTACATCCTAGCACTGAACGCGCAATAAGACAGTGCATTAGACAATTAGAATTATTAAAAACAGTTTGGGTAGATGTGTTACCTGTAAATATTTATTGCAGGGCTGTAGGTGAGTTTATATTTTTTATGTTTTATATTTGTCCATATTTAATTGATTGATAACCAAAGGATATTTTAGGATGCATTATGAATTCCATGGTTGAAGACTTAGTAATTAGAGTGATATCTGTCGAAGACATTCCCGCTGATGTTGCAACCGACTTAGTAACATTATTTAATATGATTGTTAAACGTGCACCGCAAATATTTCCGGTAAGTTATATCGAAAAAATATGATTTAATATTCTAAAAACTTTTATTTAAAACTAATTTATATAAAAAGATTACATTGAAATTAATTTACGACGAAACTATCTCGTTGAGAATTCCATAGGAATTCTATAATATTAAGCTGAAGTTGTAATACTTCTCGTTGATAATATTAACAATTATATTGTGCTTTCAGGATCCTCAGAAGATCCATCAACACGTTAAAAAATGGGCAAAATTTTTAGAATTGATTCAAGTATTGGGTGCATCGTTGAAAGAAATCGAATTTAGGTGGGGCGGCGGTAAAGGACCACTCGCGCGAGAATTTACAGCACCACAAGTTAAACAATTAATTAGAGCACTATTTCAAAATACCGAACGGAGGTCCAATTTATTAGCTTCTATAAAATAATGTTCAATTTTGAAGATATGTATGTAAGAAATAAACCATTTGCATTTATTATTTCTTACGATGAATTATTATAATTAATATTAACAGTATAATTGATATAAAAAAAAAACAAATAATAAGACGATTAATATTTCAGTCCACACAATATTATTTGATTATACTGTCAATATTAAAGTATTTCTTATGTAAGACTTTTAGCTTCTGTTTTTGTATTTATACTGTAATACTTACGTTAATGTTCCACATATTATTAGAAGTATAAAAAATGTATAAAAATCGTCACTTAAGTTTTTTCATTTATCCATACGTATATGAATTACTATCTACTAATATAAATTTCGAAACTATTGTTCAAACGTTGTAACTATTGCGACGAAAATTTTTAAGTTCCTCTATCAATTTAAATAAGAAACCAGTAAATATTGAAAACTCTAAGAAAGTAGGCAAGCAGGCAGGCAGGGTGGCGGATAGTAGTGAGAGCAAATCATTTAATACATATCCAATTCCATATCATTTACAGCAATGGCAAACATTATTACCATAATGTCCTTATCTTTCACTTGAGTATCCATAGTAATAAATACTCCAAAGTTTCCAAATGCAATACTATTTCTGCACATATACTTCAAGGCCATGATTTAAATTATATATAACGAAACAATTTTGCAGCTTTTTAAACCTCGGTTTTGCATGGCGTATAAAAATTCTTAGGACGAAGTTGCACAATCCAATATATATACGAGCAGTAATGTGCATTTGGCTAAAATTGGCATTTTCCTTGCTTTTTTTCGTTTTTTAAATAATATTATTACTATTCATTAACCCTTTCATTACGAACGCCGGATATATACGGCATCCACGCGACGACCTGTGTGTACGAGCGCCGGATATATACGGCATCTATGCGACATAAAGGAAATACTTGAAAAGTATCATCGAAATTTAATTCAACATCAACGAAGAGGCAATGATAATCCCGTGCAATTAACAGAAAGTCATTTTCCCTTATTTTATATGCCGGCAGGAAAAAACCGAAGTCGAAGACGTAAGACGTAAACACGAACGCCGAAGACTGGCCACGCGCAATGTGTACACTTTTGGCGTGGAGTCCCGTTCAGTGGCGGCGCTCCGGCGGAGCGAACTGCCGTAGCGAAAGGGTTAAATAACATATATGTCTATAATGGATGATATAAAATTATAGACAATAAGTATTAATGTTAATAATAAGAAAAAAAAACGGAAAGATATTAGTTATGAAAAATCTTATCCTTTTATAATGTATGTTAACCTTCTTTCAGCTATATTTTTTCCGGTTCCTCTATAGTAAGAAACTTAAAAAAGTACACAAAAAAATATATACGTAAAAAACTTATTCAAAACTATAAAATATGTGTAATACCCCAGATTTAAATAAGATTGAAATTGTGTATATAAATACTTTAGACTACGATCATATAGCTCAATTCAAATTTCGTTCACGATTCATTTTCATGTTATATAAAGTTTGCAGTAACGCTTTTGTTTATGAGTAATGAGTAATGTTTCTGAAAACGATTACAAACTGTAGAACTAAAGTATACTATACAAATGGTATTGCACAACTTGATCTGCAATGGTAGTTCTTGTCTATATACAGGTCGCTGCGTAGATTGGATAGAAATGTAGTCATCAGGGTGGGCGGCTGATTGGCCCGCAGTTCAGATTGGCAATGCAGTGTAGATCTTTTATGTGCATTCACGAAGATGACGATGACTGTGAACATGGAAGTGCAAAATAGAATGTCACACAATTTTTGCCTTCACCTGGCAGATAACTCTCATTAGTTGAAAGTATTTTCATACTTGCATTCTATATCTGCACATGCAACAAATTTATTCAGTGCCAATTGCTAATGTTATTATCATACAATTAATTTATTTTCTTTCTGTATATTCATATCTTTTGCACTAAAATCATTGCAGATTCAACTTGAATGTTAAACATGATATTTAACTATTAAAAAATAAATAATATTATTCATATTTTATCTGCCCATAATGCTCATCTCTCTAACAATACATATTCTATTTGACCCAGAATTTTTTATGTTTAAAACATGACCAAGTGTTTATTTTTTACTAACATTGGTAAATCAATTCTCACTGTATATCTTTGAAGATTTAATTCAGAAAAGTAATTTCATTGAATTTATGTGAGTACAAGATAACTTAGAGTCATTTTACAAGGACTGGGTATTATTAGTACCTGCCACGACCAGCTGGGGAACGGCTTCGGTACCTTGATGTGCCAGTGCCTTTGTTGGTATAATAATCAGCATTGGGATCTCCGCTATTATAAACATCTTGTGTATATCCATCTCGTGTAACATACCCACTGGTACGATTGGTCATATAATCTTCTCCATAGTAGTCTCTACTCCTACTTCCACCACCCTTGCCTGCATAATAACCTCCATAATCTGCATACATATTATTTCCTCTGTAATTGAATGCAATGGAGGCAGCAGAACCATATCCCCTAGCAGCACCACCTCGACTTCCTCTGAATCCTCCCATACCACCCCTGCCTCCACCACGACCTCTACCCCGTGAAATTTCCACCCTTAATTTAGCACCCATAATCTCTGCACCATTCATATTGCTGCAAGCAAGTTCTGCTTCATTCATATTTAGAAATTCGATAAATGCAAAACCTGGTGGGTTGAAAGCAACCCATACTTTGTTTAGCTTGCCATACTTTTCAAATTCTGTCTGGAGATCTTCCTTTTTAATGCTTTCGTTTAATCCGCCGACATAAACGCGCGTATACCCTTCCGGAGTCATTTTTTACCTAAAAATTCAGACGTACACAAAACTCTTTTTACACTTGAAAAATTCGTTAATACGTATTATATAAAATGGAGGCAAAAAGTTGTGCGTAATTAGTGTTTCAAATGTATTTTATCGTAAAGATAGTTGATAAAGCAGTAATTTAATATATTAAGATAATAGATTTTCGTAATGGATTCTTTGTAAATTCTAAAACAAATCTCAGATAGTAGAACATGGAGTACTTGCGCGCCAATGACTTCGAAAATAGTTATTAACTTTACGAGAATATACTTACTTGTATTTTAGTTTCCCTTGCTACTTTCGTTTCTTCACTGAATTTCTCGAAAAATTGAGTAGAAAAAGGATATCCAGTACGCTGTTACTATGATACAATCAATAGGCGAGAATCAACCGGGGTTCACAGTGCACAGAAACTGCATCCGATGTCTTGGCGTCTCCAACCCAGACGCCAAATGCACGTACGGTCTGCTCGGGTAAATTATTCGACTTCAGGGGAATATCATGGGGAGAAGGTTTCTCCCATTCGAAATCTTCCTCGATAAAAGTGTGCAATAACTATTTCTGAACAAACTAAATACTCCTATATTCGAATGGGAGAAGTCTTTCACTCGTTATATTTCATTCGTGCAGAACGATTTATTCGAGCAAACTATACTTACCTTTTTTTGTTAGCTACTAGCTTTATCGAAAAAAATATAAATACTATAGATAAAATAATAAATTGTTAGAAACTTTAACGAGCTTCGTAATTTTATAAAAATTTGTCTGTAATTTAAATGCTACACTTTGTAATAACATAGATATTTATAATAATTATACCCAACTAACGGTTGGTTTAGTTTGATGCGTTACTGATTAAACAATTACAAATTATTCACGAAAATTCACTTTTCTAACTACAAATTGAAATAAACACAAATACATTAAGTCTAGATTTACCTTTTAACGAATGAGTAGTATAAGAAACGTTCTTTAAAATTTATGTTCCGTAGTGTAATGCAAATATTTTATACCGTTAAATTAGGTAGTTCACCGACCGACTTATAATGATGCGTATACACGATATATCAAATATGGTAGAGTGTTATGTCGTTTTGCAAAGATGGCAGTTTAAACGATATTGACAATGCCATTTGAACAATAATAGTTTTAATAACGGAAATGTTATAATTAAACTGTAGAATTTAATTTCGTACACTGACACGGCTTATTGTTACACAACAAATGGAAATTACTTGACCTTGTTAATATAAGGGCACTCAAATTAATTTGCCAAAATTTTTGACGTTTTATCATTTGAGTTATCATTGAATTTAATCAAAATGCAACGAGACGATCTGCTCATTCAAGAAATAGAAGGCATAGATGATTATTTGGGTCCTACTTTTCGGTACGTAAATTTAAATAAACATTTACCCCTTATCGAGAATTTCGTTAAAAGTCGCGCCCCTGAAACAAACCCTTCACGCAGATGCAACATTTACCGTGCATATGCGCACTAGAAGGGTGGAAAACGGGGGTGCACACCCCCGTATTAGAATAGAGAAAATTGAATTAGGGTTGTATTATGTCAGGGTTGTCAACTAACCAAGTTGACAATCTATTGTTAACTATGGTTCCAAAACACGAATACCTTTTATATGAAATAGAATCTACAGATACTAATAGTATAGGCCTTGTTTTCAGGTACTACCTCTGTCAATCATTTTTTGGGAAAATGAAAATTTAAAACAAAAGATAGATTACTATTTTTCATTCTTTTTTTTAGAGCAATTTACGATGGTCACGAACATCAAAAATTCATGGAAAAGCTTGATGAGCGTATCAAAACACATGACAAAGACATTGAAAGAATGTGCAATCATCACTATCAAGGTTTCATTGATTCAATTCGAGAACTTTTACAAGTTCGTTCTCAAGCACAACAACTTAATGTTAGTCAACATTTTAAACTTTACTTAATACACAGAATAAGGGAATGTAATCTTATAAAATATACTTCTTCTGTAGGCTGAAATATTGGAGCTTGATAAACGTATTACTACCACTGCTACCAAAGTAATAGAAAAAGGAGAAGAGCTTGTTAAAGCACGCAAAGTAGAAAGTAATATGGCTGCTGCAGTAGACAGTCTCACTATGTGTCTTCCTGTTTTAGCTGCCTATGCAAAATTACAAAAACAATTGAAAGACAAACGTTATTATCCAGCACTAAAGACATTAGAGCAGCTAGAACATCATGACTTACCAAAAGTAACAAATTACAGATTTTCTTCACAAATTACTCAACAAATTCCACAGTGAGTAATATCATAAGATAAAAAAATATTTGTTTTTACAGCAGAATGTAACTAAAGAGTAATTTATACAGACATATTAAGGTACATTAAGTGACTGATAGATTACAATGATTTTAGACTACGTGAAAATATAAAGGATGCTTCCATGTCTGATTTAAGAGACTTCTTAGAAAATATTAGAAAGTATTCACCAAAAATTGGTGAAGTTGCCATGAGACATGTAGGTAAAATTTAGAAATTTAAAAATGAACTGCTGTATATGTAATACATTAGTTTTCTTTCTATATTAGACACAAGAACAGTTAACTATTGAAGCTGAGATTATTGGCTGGAAAAAGAGGAGATCACACACAACAAACTCTATGTCAAATGAATCAGAAGAAGAGTTGAGTGCTCAAGATTTAATGGATTTTAGTCCCGTTTATCGTTGTATGCAGATTTATACTGTTCTTCGCGAAGGAGCATACTATAAAGCATACTATAGACAACAAAGAAAACAACAAGCTAGATTAGTTTTACAATCGCCTATTAATATGGTAAATATTATTCAGGATCACTGAAATAAATTTCTAATATTGATAATTGTATACGTTACGTTTTCAGCATGAGAGTATAAGCGGCTATCAAACATACCTACAAGGCATTGTAGGATTTTTTGTAGTAGAAGACCATATTTTAAATACTGGTAATGGCTTAGTTGCACGTGCTTATTTAGACGAACTATGGCAAATGGCACTATCTAAAATCGTAAATGCGTTACGTACTCATTCTGTAAGTTTCATTCTATAAAATTATTCTGCACCCATTCTGATAACAAAATGTCGAAGTTCTGTTTTTTTTTAGGCATACTGTACCGATGCAACACTTATTCTAAAAATAAAAAATCTTATAATGTTGTTTAATACAACTTTAAGGGTAAAGAAATTGATACATAATTTATTTATTATCAATGTCATACATGTTGCCTTACTATTTCTTTTTCTGAACAGAATTATGGCTATTCTGTGGAGCAACTTTGGGACTTACTACAAGAAATTCGAGTACATTACAATGAAGTTCTAATGCAACATTGGGTTCAAGTATTTAGGGATATTTTAGATGAAGATAGTTTTTTACCAATTCAGGTGTGTTACATGTTGTCTTAATTAAAAAACTTTGGTATATACTGAACATTGGTACATTTTAGGTGACAGTGCAAGAAGAGTATGATAATATTCTCGATTTATTTCCATACCATGATGAAGAATTACAAAAAGCAGAATTTCCTAAAAAATTTCCATTTTCGGATATGGTTCCGAAAGTTTACCAACAAGTTAAAGAGTTTATTTATGCTTGTTTAAAATTTTCCGAAGATTTAAATTTTACTCAAACAGAAATAGACGAAATGATTTGCAAATCGACGAATTTATTATTAACAAGAACATTCAGTGGTTGCTTGTCATCACTATTTCGAAAACCATCATTAGCGCTTTTACAAGTAGTTCAAATTATAATAAATACTGGTTATCTTCAAAAATCTACGAAGTATTTAGAAGAATTTGTCTCTAATATTACGGGGTGAGTTCAATGAGTTATGAATAGATTCATCATGATATCAAATAAAAATTTTGCAGAACACCACATGAAGGGCAATTGAGTAGTATGGGTGTCGAATCAGCGATGTTTAAAGTCGCTAGAGACGATGCTGAGAAACAAATTTGCGACAAATTGAAAAATAAGCTTGACGAATTTTTAGAATTAGAAAACTACGATTGGAACTTGGCAGAACCTCAAGGACACGCATCTGGTTTTATTACCGATCTCATAGCATTTTTGCAAAGTACTTTTACATGCTTTACTAATTTACCGGTACGTATTCCTGATGTTATCAGAAATATCTGAAATACAAATATTTTGAATGTGATAAAATTAAATGTTTATATTTTAGGATGAAGTTGCGCAAGTGGCTTGTAAATCTGCCTGTTCTCATATAGCGAAATCTATACTAGGAATATTAATTAGCGAAGATGTGAAACAAATATCTATGGGTGCTCTTCAACAAGTCAATTTAGATACAATACAGTGTGAACGTACGTGTTTTCCTTTTTTATTCTTAAATAAGATGTACAATATATGGTTACAAAATATTTTGTGGCAATATTGAATTGATTCGAACATAAATTAGAAAGATTTTAATTTTTAGAATTTGCTGCCTCAGAACCTGTAGCCGGTTTACCCGAAGGTACCTTGCTTCAGCATTTTGCACAATTAAGACAATTACTAGACTTATTCATGAGTTGGGACTGGCCTACTTATTTTCACGACTATGGCCATGAAACAAGCAAATATAATCTGGTAACTCCAAACATGGCTGTACTTTTGTTAGAGAAGTATGTACCATGCCTTTTTATTTTATTGTAATATTGTGCTACGTATCGATATCTATACTTTTAACATATACACTTGTAGATTAAAAGAATCCGACAAAAAAACAGTATTCTCCGTACTAAAGAAAAGCGAACGAGATAAGAAAAAACTTTTAGAAACTGTATTGAAACAACTACGCCAATTAGCACAAACTACTCAGCAGTAAATGAGAATAAAGTCAATATGTACATACCTCAAAAAGAGATTGTAAATACATAATTTTTAATATATAAATATGCTTGAAGCATAATTATTTAGAAACTTATCGTTATTATAATAAAATGACTGTAACAAAATTTTGCATTTATCAGGCGTGTTTTAACTTCCTTATACTGTCATGGTACAATGATTGTTAAAATCATGATTTCACACCATGTCATGGCTTATACCATACTGTGCTCATGTTAGTGTATCAATCTTTCGATGTCGATCAATTTTTTTGTAAACGATTTTACGAAATATCGAATTCTAGGCAATAGAATATAATACATCAAGTAAGTTCCCATTACACTTATTATTTTAATTGTTTCCTCCTAAATTGGCATTGTTATTTTACATGTAAATGAGTTACATATCGTACAATAACTGTACAGCGGATAAAGTATAACATATAAAGTCCCAATTCCTAAGTCTTACAGATGTAATTATCTCCAGAATTAAATAATAAAAAAAAAATCAATATAATTTGTTATTCTAAAGTTGTCCGAATTTTCACATCGATTTAATGATGCCGAACGTTCATATCGAAATATAAAGTAAATACATATGTAGATAGATAATTATATTAAGAGTAATAAAATAGATTAAATACAAATCAACAATAATTCCTGTAAAGTAATACCAAGAGCTTAGTGTTTGATTCATGAATCAATTCGATAAGTATTTAATAGAGGTAAAACAACTTAATAATATGCATATATAGACCAATTATGATGCATGTGGCACAATTTAATTGGTGATGTATAATGGTTAGGACTAATCATCAATATTGTCGGGGTCCACATCATCAGGTAGCATGGAATACTTGTTGGAAGCTACGAAATTCTGAAACGAAAAGATTATCGTAATAATTGTTATTAAGAGTAATTAAAAGATCCTCCCACTTACTGGAGCTTGTTCATCCTTTGCCTTTGGCATCCTACTAACGTCATCTTTTTCTTTTTCTTTACGATCTCTGTAAAAATAAGAGAATATATGTACTCATTTTTCAAATGGAAAATAATAATAATGATAATCATATTTACCTATCTCCACCGCGAGTATCACTTGATCGTGGAGGACATCTTATGGGTACCAATCCTCCACGAGAAGAGGGCTGTCCTTTAGACTCTCCATATTGTTCTACATTATAAAAAGAAATTATATTGTGTCAAGATCACTTTAGATATATTTATCTACAAAAAGATAGAAGTAAATTTACCAGAATGAGCGGGTTGAATTCGTGGTGCCGATCTTTCAGTTCGTCGACTTCTATCCTCATCCGATCGCCAAGTTTGTCGTTCCTTCTCTTTTTCTTCGCGACCCTCCTATTTAGAATATTTTATAAATATCGTAACACGTCATATGATATACACCAAATTTGATATTACAAACTTACTCCATTACGTCTACCCCAAGTACCTTCCTTAGTAGCACGTTTTTCTGAATCTCTAAAAGGAAAAAGATCGTTAAATATTTTAAGATAAACTGTATTTAATATTCAAACAATTTCTCCATTTTTTATACCCGTCTTCTTTGGATTTTGATTCTGCATATG